CCCCCAAATTCACTAAACTATATGTACCCTTACCTGTTGTGGAAACAAATTTTTAAATCTTTTTTAGTTTCTCTAGAAATATCAAATAATATTTCTTTGGTCCAAAATCCTTTCCAGACTTTTCCCTTTCTTGCACATTAGAAAGTAAGCTCCTTGAGATAAAGACTGTTTTTATTTTTTCTTTGTATCATCAGCACAGTGTCTGGAATAATAGTAAGCACTTAATAATGCTTGCTGATTTATTAATTGATAGTAAAAACAAATTAGTGTACCAGCTCGTTCATGGTTATGAGACTTCTTCCAGCAGCTCAGAAGTAGGAGGAGAAAAGATCAGTGGTGGACATAGTCCAAATTTTGAGTTGGGAAAGGCATGAGGCAATAAAACAGGGGGTCAAAGTATTCAAGGGTAGAGTACAGTGTAAAGTGGAACTGAATAATGATAGCATCAACATTTCAATGGGAGGAAAGGGGGTCAAGACTGGGATAATAGACTGGGAAAGCTGGGAGGAATGAAATGACTGGAAGAACAATAGATTTAGGACTGGCTAGGCAAGGAAAACTTAAGGAAAGAGAAGAGAATATTAGAATATTGGATTCTAAGAATATTCAAATTTTGAATTGGAGACTTTGAAGTCTGGCATATGACTGTTTTTTTCATGTGTAGCTAAGGTGCACTGAAGTTATAGGTCTTGGAAGCTGAGGAGGTCGACAAACTGGGAGGCCAATATGTTTGAAGGAACATCACCTTGCATACTGAATTCTCTAAGTATAAGGGTAAAGACTGAGCTAGAGAAGACTATGAGCCAGGTACTTGAACCCTTTGAAAAGGGAGGGAAAATAGCCTGGAGTAGTAGATAGCCATCTCAGTGATATCCTGGCTCTGGAGAAGGTGCTAAGTCTGGATGGACTGAACCTCAAAATAGGGTAGATTACTAAATGATGATGACTTGGAGGCATAATGTAAAGATGTTAGTGAGGAACAAGGAATAGGCTTATGTCTCTTCCTGGCCCTCTGTATTATGGGGCATGAGACAAGGAACATGTAGTATTTAAGAACATGCCCTGATATGTGTCTGTGGGGAACCACACTCCTGTGGTTATAAGAAGATAGAAGGCATATATGATAAAAATGTAAGTTAAGATAAAAGGAAGTTTGTTAAGGAGAGACTGAGTTTGCTGAGGACACAATTGGAAAGGCAAGGCAGATCAGGAGGGACAAGCCTTAAGTGGATGGGGCTGAGGTAGTTGGGAGGGGAACTGAGTTTTCTTAGTACTTACTTTAGAGTTTCAGAGTAGAGTAGACAGCTTTCTAGCCCTAGGCCAGGGTGGATTCCTACTTTATATGCAGTCAGGAAGAATAGGTCTATCTTCAGCCCCAAATCTTTTGTTCTGTATTATAACTACTTCCACACCCCCAAGATGGGGAGTCTGTTTCTGGTTCTGGATTGTGTATTTGGTCCTGGACTATGGGCCCTCGCTAGTTATAGGGCAGGAGCTTCACTTACCTTAATTAGTCAGCAATAAGAGGATCCAACTTCTATGCTGTTTGGATGAAACAGAAACAGAGAAAGAGAGAAATAGAAAAACACCAAGAAAAAAACCCAGAGGCGAGAGAAATAGAAAAACACCAAGAAAAAAAACCAGAGGCAGAAAGACATAAGGAGACAGAGAGAGACAGAAACAGACACAGGAAGAAAGATACAGAAAAAGGAATGACACACAGAGAGAGACACACACCGACACAGAGACAGAAAAGTAAAGGGAAAATGGAATAATACCTTTGGGATGGAACTTAACAGTTTTTTTTAAATGGGCACCACAAAAGAAATTATAAGAGCACAGAAGTAAAGATGGTGAAAGTGGGGATATTATGGTTTATTTAGAGAATCTAGAGATTCAACTAGACATTAACTGAAGTAATTAATAGCTTAAGTAGCAGAATATAAAACAAGCCAACAAAATTCATTAATCTTTAATATTATTGTTACAACCTAACAGAAGCCTATAGAAAAAGAAATTCCACTGAGAGTAGCTACAAAATGCATAAAATATCTCTAAGTTAACTTCCCGACACACACAAGATGTATACAGTTACAAAACAGCCTTTACAGAAATAAGGGAAGACATAAATATTTGGAGATATATTCACTGATCAGGATTGGGTCAAAACTGAAAAACAATCTCAACAAATAAAAAAAAACAACAAAATAAGGAATAAAATCCCAAATAAAATTATGGAATCTGAACTGTTTATATTTTCATAAAAGACAAAAAAACTATAAGCTTTTCTAAAACATTTATTCTGTGTACTTTTCCAATCTTATTTCCACCTGTGTCCTTAGAATGTTTTAGTTCTTATGCACTTAGAGCCAACGTGTATTTTCTTCTAATTTTGTTTGCTTTGCATAATTTTATATAAATCTTTGCAATGATGTTATTTTTATATGTATATTTTTATGGCATGATAATTTTTTTTAAAACCTTACATTATAATTTATCAATATGAGAACCTCCTTGCTGAGGCAGATCACAACTCACATGTAAGGTATAGTCTTAAAGAGTTTCCTGAAGCTCAGAAGAAAATAATACAAAAATCTTGCTTTTACCAAAACAAACAAACAGAAGACATCAGGAATTTTTGAAACATATAATTGTTTTCTCATTGCTATAAAATCTTTATGAAAATGTGGAAATGTGGAAAAATTGGGGCACTAATTTATTGTTGGTAGAATTGTGAACTGATCCAGCCATTTTGGACAGCGATCTGGAATTATGCCCAAAGAGTTATTACACTCCTATACCCTTTGACCCAGCAACACCATTATTAGGTCTATTTCCCAAGATGATTAGGGAAAAAAAGAAAAGAACCTACATGTTCTAAAATATTTATAGCAGCTCTCTTTGTGGCAGCAAAGAACTGAAAATTGTGGGGATATCCATCAATTGGAGAATGACTGAACAAGTTGCGGTACATGATTGTGATGTGCTATAGGAAATGATGAACTTCATAATCTTACAAAAGCATGGATAGACTTGAAGGAAATAATGAAGAGTGAAATGAGCAGAACCAGAGAACGTGTATACCATAACAATAATATTGTTTTAAAAAACAACTTTGAGGAAGTGATTTTGACTATTATAAACAGCTAAATTAACTATAAAGTACTTATGAAGACACTATCTGCATCCAGAGAAAGAGCTGGAAGTATATTTAGAATGATTTTATGTATATATGTATATGTATTTGTGTCTAATGGTAATCATCTCTAGGACAGGGGTGGAGGTAAGAAAAAAAGGGAAAAAATTACATGATAACTTTATTATATATTTTAAATGAATAGCAAATTTTACATAATAGATTTGCAGTTTTATGTGCAATCATCTTTTTTTTATTATGCTGTTATGGAAATGCTTATTTTATTCCATAAACTAAAAATAAATAAAACCTTTTAAAAAGCAAAAAAAAAATTAATGTGTTCTGTGTAGATGTGTGGGAATTCTAGTTGTCTTAACAAATATTGGAAAAAATGAAAAAAAACCCACCCTAATCATTTTAGACAAGTAGATTAATAGCCAGTGGCAAAATAGCAGTGTCACAGGTGAATGAGAATTTAGGGGAAAACCCTGATGGGTTTTTTTTGGGGGACATCAGTCAGTTTGTCCATGGAGAGGCCAACTGTATCTGCTGCAAACCTTTAAATTGCTCTGTTAACATGTTCTATGATTTGTCTTATACTTATCATTAATAGCTAATAATAATAGGTAACCTTTAGGTAGCACTTACCATGTGCCAGGCACTGTGCTAAGCACTTTACAATTATTATTATCTCATTTGATCCTCACAACAACCCTGGGAGGTAAGTGCTATTGTTATTCTCATTTTAAGGATATGGAAAGAGACAAACAGAGGCTAAGTGACTTGCCCAGGGTCACATAGCTGGTAAATGTCTGAGGCCATATTTAAACTTAGGTCTTCCTGATTCCAGATCCAAAGTTCTATCTACTGCACCACCTAGCTGCCCATACTTTTTACATGGGAACAAAATGACCTGCTCTATACTGAACCTGATTCATATTGCTCCTTTCACTTCTTCCTTTCTGGGGGCACCCCCTACACTTTTAAGCCCACAGCTATTTCTATAATTAGCAAGTTTCTTCTATTGCCGGCGTGGAGGTGATGAGCCAATAAATGTGAGAATTTGGGAGTGTACTGCCACTACCCAGAAGTCAGGAAACCCCAGCGAAGGAAACCCAGTACAAGCCTATGGCATTTCTGGGCACAGAGCAGAAAGGGGTGGATACACATACCACACAAAGACACAAAGAGAGACAGAAAAGCAGAGACATACATAGAGAGACAGGAAGACAGCCACAGAGCTGTATAGACAAGTTATAAATATAGATCAGGGATTAAGGATTTGGCACCTTCAGAGCACTAAGCCTTTCTTATCTTTCCAGCTGTTCTTTTGAGGGGGAGGGTTCTAGCTACACCCTCTCATTAGCTCAGTGAGCCCCAGCAGCGATTGTAGGTGTCTGTGAACCATAACATTAGACATATGTGTATTTGTATTTATATTTGTATATATGAACACACATTTATGCAAAGGGGTATAGAGGCAGAAATACAAATCTTTAGTTTTATAGAGAGACAAAGAGAAAGAGCACAATATGGTATATGTTGTATATATACTCTGTGCATATACAGGATATATACATATATATGATACAGAATATATCCTATATGTGTACAGAGTAGGCAATTTTTGTAGATTACTGATTTTATACCTGTATAGGTATATTGATAGAGAGTTTTTGATTGAAGCCACTTGCAATTCCTGCTGGCTTCACTGAGCTCAATAGGAAGATGTGACTCAAGCTCACCAGATCAAAAGGACTTCTGGAAAGAGGAGCCCTTGGCATGAGAAATTGTTAAGCTCTCACCTTTAATCCAGCTTTCTTCAGATTTCTTGGCTGTTAACCAGGTGTTAAAACTATGGATCCTGATTTAATCTAAGGTCTTCTCTGAGGTTTGTTTGCTGCTTTGTGGTTGAACTGCCCCTCCCATTGAAGAAGTTAGTCTCCATTACTATTCCAGAATCCTTAGCTGATTTTTGGCTGTTCTGACTCATTCTCCTTTTGCCTCTGTTCCTCGGGTATTGTCTTGAGGCTCCTTCTCCCTGACTCCCTTCCTTTTCCATTCCTCTATGTACCCCAAAGAAAATTCTGTCCAGAAGAGTATTCAGATTCCTTGCCTATCTGGTTCTATTCCCAGATATGGCTAGGTAGGACAGGATAATGCCATAGATTTAGAATACTTACCAAAAGGTATGCTTCCTAAAAACATGGGGATTAAGATCTTGGCTTAAAATTGGCCTCTTAGTACAGTTATTTAACTTTTGACCCATCATTCTCCTAATTAAAGCATCATCTGTGTTAGGAAATAACTATTTTGTGACCCCTATAAAATTAAAAAAAAAAAGGAAGAAAGTATTTATAAGGCACTTGATCAGAAAGAATGAGTCATAATAACAATAATGCATATTTATACAGCTCTATTTTAAGAAAGCACATCATATACATCGTTTCATTTGATCCTCACTTTCTAGGGAGGTTGGTAGTACAAGAACAAACTCAGTTATATAGCTATTAACTGACAGAGTGAGAAATTCTAGGTACTCTTCCCTAAAAACTCTGCTGCCCCTACAAGTTAGGTAAAATAACCACTTTTCTTATTATAAATTATCCCCCAAATAGAGAAGAGTTTAGCAGAATCATTTAAGGAGATGAAAAAAATGGTAGGTTTTGCAAAAAGGATCAGTAAATACAAGAGGTATTTGCTTACTAGTTATATAACTAATGGATATAAATCCACTTGCCTAAAAGTTGAGGTTGTTTTGTACCTATTTCTACCCTGTGCTGGTCAACGTTTATCAATCAGCTGGAGATGAGGGAATATATGAAGGCCACATTTTTAAGTTTGATTTGCATTATTAATATTTTCTCCGTAACTTTCTTAGTCTAGTCAATCAGTCTAACAACGAATTAAATGCAGATTTGTAACTTTTGCTAATTTCTGAAGTATAAATGCTTACACTAAAAATTTAACAATCACACTCATGAGCAGTTAGGAACTAGCTCCAACACAGACCTGCCCATTTCCAATACCTGATGAAACAACTGATCCTGATTGATATTCTATTAATATAAAACCCATATGCTGGTGAAATAACATGTAAGGGAGAGAATTCCAAAACCGACTATATCTTTGTATTATAATCCCATATATTTATATTGACATATTCACAAGTGAAGTAGGCCCTCTTCTCCCAAGTGCTTAAATGGATTCTTTGTGGATGAGGGATTAATACTTTTTTTTTAAAGGACTAATTTAGTCTTTCTTTGGACTCTGTTAGAGGTGAATAAAAATTGAAAAATAATTATGACAAGCTATAAAATGGCTCACTGAACTTTGTATTTCACATTTTGTACAATTAAGGTTTTTAAGAATTTCAAATTGTGTTGGGGCAGCTAGGTGGCACAGTGGATAGAGCAATGGCCCTGGAATCAGGAGGACCTGAGTGCAAATCCAGCCTCAGACACATAACACTCACTAACTGAGTGACCCTGGGCAAGTCACTTAACCCCATTGCCTAGACAAAAAAAAATAATAAAATAAGAATTTCAAATTGTGGCACTTCTGGTTAATAGGGTGGCATGTAAGCTCCCAGGGAAGCTCAGGTCTACCATATGTACTTCAGCAAAAATCAACACCAAATTGGAAAAAGATCAAGAAATACATACAAGACTATAGTAAATGCTATGATCCAGTCCAGAACTACATAGAAATACACTTGTGGAGCCAGGTATCATTTTGACCACTTTACCCTAGAATAGCTGAAAGTCTTTAGCCCTCTGACCTAGGAGGCATGAGAAGGCACTGAAACCTGTAGAACTCTGTACTGGGGAGACAGGGAAGTCCGGGGGGGGGGTGTTAGAAAACCATAGCACTCTGACTGTTTTGACTGCAGATTGAGCCAGGAGCCTGCAGTTCTCTTTTTGGGATAGGAAGGCTTGGAAGTCTGCAGAAATGTGCCCTGAGACACTCAAAGGCCTTGAAGACTTCAGGGTTTTGAAATCAAACAATACTAGGAAAGCTGAAATCTATCAACCCTTTGAGCACAGACTCATCAGGAGAAGTGAATGTAGCAGAAGAAGCCCAGGTAATTGAGGTCAGGACAAATAAGGTCCGACCATTTCATCTAAGAATGCAGGAAAGGGTGGATCCTGGCTTGGCACAAAGTCTCAAATCAGTAACTAAGGCTTGAGATATGAATAAACAGAAGACACCAAACACTATGAAGAAATATGACACTCAAGAGACAAAGACAGAAGTAACTCCATAACTACACACAAAGCCTCAGAATAAAAAAAAAATGACAGCCTCAAGTACTATAAGAGTACCTGGAAGAAATGAAGCAAGTAACAATGAAATTATAAATGAAATAAGATCTCTAGAACAAAGAAAAAATTTTTTTTTAAATTTAATAATAAAAATTAAGAATAAATTTGAAATTTAAAGACTACAAAAGAATAAGTAATTAGATTATACCTACAAAGAGTTACTAAAATATTACATTGAGTTTTAATGTAAGAATATTAAAAGCTTATTGTCACCTATGATTTCCTGGACTTCATTTTGATTCATAGCTGGCTTTGCTGCTTTCTCCTTTGAAGAAGAGGATTTTGCCCCTGTTAAGCTATGTGTTGCCATATATTCATTGGTATAAAGTACTTGCATTATATCATTTATAAATTTCTGAGGCTTGCTCTTGTTGCAAAGGGCAATCTGCCATTTTTCAATCTTGAACTGAAAAACAAAACAATTTGTAGATATTAATATTTAATGAAATTCAACAAAACAATTATTTCCTTTTGACTAAATCTTTATATTTTTTAATTATGCTTTCTTTACTTTTCTCCTTGGGTACAGGGACAAAGACTGAACCTTTGATTTCAGTGAAAGAGAGTCCAAATGTGGAAAGTTCCTCCACCAATGAAGATCAGTGACTATGTAACTGAAAGTCTTGGGGTTGCCAGGGGGAGCTGATGAGTTGACTCTTAGCTAAGAAACACATGGTCATAAAGCCAGTATATGTCAAAGGCAAGATTCCAAGCTCTTCTGGATGCCAAGGTTGTCCTTCTCTCCACAATATCTATTGTAGTTATTTGTATTGTATGAAATAACAACATCCCTTTAAAAGTGTTACATTTGACCAGCTAGAGACTGGACCTGTGATTTTCATTGGTATAGAGAACTCCTAGATGAAGAAACTCCCTCTATACATTCAGATCTGCAGGCACCTCATTTGCTACTTACAGCCTAAGAGAGCTACCTAGAACACTTAGAGGGTACACAGGGTCGTACAGCCAGTATGTGTCAGAGGCAAGATTTGAATCCAGGTCTTCATGGCTTCAAAGCTGGCTCTATAGCCACTGTGTCATACTACCTCTCGTACTATATTCAACATATTTATGAATGTATAAAAACAGGAGAAAGTTGAGGTAGTTCATCAAATGGTTAAATGTCAATTTGTCATTTGAGTTGTAAAGTAATACTCTATCCAATAGCCATTCATTAATTTTCATATTTTACTACCCCAGAGATTGACAATTCATATCACTTAACTAACCTCTTTGTCAATGGTATGCTCTTCTTCCTCCACCTTCGAGGAGGGAGATGAACTGGAATTATTACCCACTGTAGAATAAGAATCTGGTACAGAATTTCCTGTAGACTTCCAGCCTTGGGAATGAAGACTGGATGCAGAAGAGGTTCTTCCCCTTTTAAGCAGTGCTTCTGCCATGCTCACCAGCTCTTCAAAGTGGGTAACTGCTTGAGGTAACACTAAAACCAGAAGAGAAACACAGATGGTGTGTTACCTTATTTGGATTCATAACTGTTTCCATTTCCAAGTTCCTTGCATGAGCATGGGATCACATTAGGCCATTTTCAGGTCTACCCCACGGTGGCTCATAATCCCTGATAAAAGAAGATGATTTTCCCATGGTCTATTTATGAATTTTTAAATAAGGCAAAGAATGAAGGGAATGAGCATTTATTAACCACATATTGGGCACTGTACTAAATACTTTACAAATGTTACCTCATTTGATTTTCTAATAACCATGCTATTATGATCCCAATTTTACAGTTAAGAAACTGAGGCAGATAGAGGTTAAGTGACTTGCTCAGGGTCACGCAGCTAGCAAGGAGGTATCTGAAGCCAGATGGGAACTTAGGTCTTCCTGACTGCAAGCCCAGTTCTTTATCCACCATACCACGAAGCTTCCTGCTTTTCATAAGGAATTGGTGCTGGAGCTATGATCTCATTGGTGCAAGAAGCTCCAGGTGAGATAGAGAATACAGTACAACTCTTAAACAAACCCACTCTGTGCTTTTCTCTTTTATTATGGTAGCAGAAACATCCCGTGTTCTACCTTTTATAGTATTTGTGGTAGTTCAAAATACAGTGTTCCTAAAACAACATCTAGCTCACTTTCCCCCCATGTTAACCAATCAGTGAATGTTTCTTAAGCACCTACCAAAAGCCAATTAATCAATAAGTATTTATTAAGTGTGATGTTGGCTGGTGGAGAACCTGTTTTTTCTTAGTGTTAATTCTTAGGCCAAAATTAGCACAAGCAGCAGGGATTGCATTGAGTGCACAATCATCTGCAAGCAAAAAATCATGCACCTACTCTCCCTCCACTTTAGTCTTAGTTTGTAGCCTTTTCAAGTTGAATAATTTACCATTAGTGTGGTATCTGACTTTGATGCCACTTTCCTTGGCAGTATACTTTCCAGGGATGTACATATAGATGATGAGGTTGATGTAGGCATTGCCAGAGCTAGCTTCGTGTTTGGAAGACTCCAAAGGAAAGTGAGGTATTAGACTGCCTACCAAAGTGAAAGTCTACAGAGGCATTGTGCTGATCTCATTGTTGTATGCCTGTGAAACCTGGACACTACCAACACCACGCTAGAAAATTGAATTGCTTCCATTTGAATGGTCTTGATTTTGTGATGTGGGAGACACTGGCAAAGAACTGCCCAGCATGGCATGCCAACATCCAAGAAGGCACTGTGCTCTATGAGAGAAGCAGAACTGTAGTAGCTCAAAAGAAATTTAAAGACACTTCCATTCCAAATGGTCCATATGGACTATTTGTGCCCTGTGGTAGAGTTCCAAGCTCATATTGGTCTGATTAGCCACAGTTGGACATGCTGTACCTTGACTCCAACATAGTGATTTTGGTCCTCTTTGAGAACCAAGGACAATCACCACCATCACCACAAAATGTGAGGTGATAAGGGTCTCCACCTTGAAACACCACTCTCTTTTGGTTCTCCTACCTGTCAGATTATGTACCTGCCAGGGACCTACTATGTTCCCCTCCTGGATCACTGCTTTGTTGTATCACAGGGGCTTGTGTAGCTCAGTGAAACTATGAGCTATGGTGAGCTTGGACAGACTTCAGGAGAAAGTGGAGGACAGAAAGGACTATTGTGCTGTGGTCCATGGAGTCATGAAGAGTTGGACACCTCTGAATAACAGCAACAACAAAATGTGCCAGGCAGTGTGTTTAACCTGGGAATAAAAAAGAAAGTCAGAGTCTCTGTTCTCAAGGATCTTAAAGTCTAATGGAGGAGACAACATACAAACAAACATGCACAAACTAGATAGATACAACAGAAATTAGAGATGATCGTGGAAGTAATAGAGAACCCCTGGAGTGGATTGAATAGGGGAGGTATGGTGCCCAAACTTTTAATTTAGTAAGATCAATCTTACAGCTGAATGAGTTAAAGGTAGACTGGAATGGGGAGAGACTTGAGGTAGGGACTAATTATGAGGCTATTGCAGTTATCTAGGTATGAGGTGCTGAGGGCCTAGACCAGGATGTTGGCAGCCAGAGGACAGAAGGGAGTATATCTAGGAGATGTGAAGAAAGAGATAAAGGATTTAGCAACTGATTGGATTTAGGGGATGAAGGAGAGTAAGGTGTGGAGGAAGATGCAGTTGAAATGAAAATTCTTTGGATTTTGCCCTGATTTACAAGGCAAAACTCAAGACAAAGAGAACTGAAAAGAGTTTATTGTAAGTAAATCAAGGTAGCAATAAGCTGATGGGCAGATCACCAGAGATCACAGATGGCTTCAAGGTGGAGCCAGCTAATGATAAAATGATATAAAGAGAATTCAAGTAAGTCCACACAGTAAAAGGGGTTGGACTCTTGCATCTCAGTTCTTCCCCCAAGAAGAACCCCAATTTCCTTGTAAGGGTATGGGGAAGAGCAGGGGACTGGGTGATGTGCTTCTCCCCTCCACCCTCCATGGACCTCCTCCAACACTGATTTACAAGTAGAGCATAAAACAATAGGTCACTGACTACATATAACTTTCAGCAATGCTCAGGTTGTGAACCTGGGTTACTGGGAGGATTATGGGTATCCTCTACAAATAGTAGGGAAGTTAGTAAGAGGGGAGAGTTTTGGGGGAAAGGTAATGAGTTCAGTTCTGGACATGTTCAGTTTAAGATGTCTGTGAGACATGCAGTTTGAAATATCCAATAGGCAAGTGGAAATTTGAGAATGGAGACCAGGAGAATGGTTAGGGCTGGATAAATAAATCTAAGAATCATCTGTATAGAAATGATTATTGAAACCACAGAAGCTGATAAGACTAGCAAGTGAAATGATGGAGAGGAAGAAGAAAAAAAAAGGCCCAAGACACTGGTATTGTGGACATGAGCTCTGTAAAGTCTATATATGTTAGAACTTCCCTCCTTCACAGGGGAGCAGGACAATGGAATGCACAACAATCAACCAATTAGAAGGATTTCTGAGGCTCAAAGCTACTTGACATACCAGTGATCCTATGTGAAGTGAACTTTAGACAAACTTGGGGATGGCTGCAGAGGCAGGACTAGCCTTGAACAGCTCAAGGTTAGCTTTGAGCAGCAGCTGCAGACCCAGTACTTTCCAAATACCTTACTCCCTGACTTACTGTATCCACAAATGTCTTCTGCCAAAAATCCCCCATCCCTCTGAAAGCCTCTAGAAACTACATTATCTCACTCCCTTTTTTCTCCCCCTTGAGCATATGAGAACTCTTCCTCTCTGCTCCCTTGTAGGATCTTCTTTCCCAGACAAGCTTTTTCTCAGAAAACAAATGCTTTTAATTGGTGTATTGGACTCTTTTATTTCAGGTCCCTTTATGGGGCTGAGAAACATTTGTTAATGTATACTATTAGTATAAGAGATTGCCAAATGAAATAGTATAGAGAGTGAAGAAAAGAGGGAGTTAAATGGCATAACCTGAATGAAGAGCCAGCAAAGGGGACTAAGAAAGAATAGTCAGATATATAGGAGGACAAACCAGAGGAGAAAGCAGTGTCATGAAAATCTGGGCAGAAGAGAATATCAAGGAGGAGAAGGTGATAGTACCAAAGCCTGCAGAGAAGTCAAGAAAGATAGGCCAGACCCAGTGCTAAATGTTGCTGATGAGGTCTAGAGATTTAGGGGTGCTGGGACCCCGAGATCATGAAGTGGGCTCTGCCTGAATGAATTCAACCCAAATCTTCTTTCAGCCAGAGAAAAAGCTTATTAGAGATAAACCATACAGGCCAGACTCTTAAGGAATCTGAACATTAGTAACGCTGGTAGGGGATGAGCGGGCATGAGAAAGTCTCAGCATTTAAATGGGGGCCAGGGTGGATCTTATATACACTAAAGTAACTTTGGGTGACCAGGGAAGGGGCTGAGAAAAAGGTGTAGGTGAGAATTCTGATTGGAACGTCTAAGAGATTGAATAGACAATGGGAATAGATAATGAGAGGAACTGGAAGAACTTTGAAAGGCATCTGAATAAGATCAAAAGGTGGGGCTAGGGCTTTCAAAGGGAAATAAGGGGAGTCAATAAGGAACCGTTTGAGACCAGAGTAAGAAAAGTTTAAGGGCTTTCTGGGGTCTGTAGACAAATGGGAGCCAAATTCTTTTTGGTAGAAGGGGCAAAGGTCTTGTCTTGGGCCCATACCTCATCAATGCAAATAAAAAGACAAAAATGAAACAGTCCTTACCCTCAAGGAGTTTACATTCTAATGTGGGAGACAACATGTACCTCAATAAGTATACCCAGAATAAAAGTGAGAAAAATTTGATACTTTGGGGGGATTAGTAGGAAAGGGTATTTCACTGGGATGAATTTCTTGCAAGATTATTGTTGAGGTCAGATTCCAGAGATTGGTTTGAGTGTGAAAAATTCACTTAGACATTCTCAGTAGCTAATGGGAGTTTTATTACATGAAGCCCAAGGGCCTGTTAGCAAGAAGCTAATAAAAGCCCTTCTTTTTGGGAGGACCAGGCTTATATAGACAGAAAACTACATAGCCTGTAGATGTTCAAGATGATGATGTAGTTTTAGGGTTTTTTATGGTGGTTGAAGATTAAGGAAGGATATTATGACGAAGAATGAAGAAGATGGTTGGATAGGATAAGGAAGAAAAAAAGCAATTCTTTTGGTCTTACAAGATAAGGAGAAGTTCTATGGTATTGCAAGATAATTGGGAAAAGGACTTTAGGGTGTTGTCAAGTTACAGGATCTCAAATTACAGGATGAGCTACAGAATAATCCCCAAACCTCCTCAGGAGGGGGCTTCACAAAGTACTGGAAAAGCAACCCTTAATATTCTTCTTAACCCAGTTTGTATCCACATCATTATCAAGCACTTATTTTGAGAATTTCTGTGAAATGTTCCCTGATCTGAGAGCCAGGGTGTGGGCAACAGGCAACTAAGGTTGAATCCCTGTTCTACCATTTACTGGCTGTGTGAGGTTAGACAAAAT